TTTTCCCTGGTCGTTATGGGTGGGGGAAGTAGTTCTATCCCATATCTGCAAGGTTAGTTAACTTAATATCAGCTAGTTTAGTTTCCCCTCTCACCATTAATCAAAAGAAAATAACAGAGAGCAACCAAACATTTATCAAAGCAAACAACACGGTAACTGGGTAAACCAAAGAAATTGGTTAGTGATAGAATACACAAGAATCAGAACCTTGATGAAGTCTCAGCTTAACTGTGGAGAGAACCTTCTCACCCAATGAGTCATCCAATTAGGAATTGCTAGGGGATATAGGCACTGGGAAACCAAATACACGTTGGGATGTTTTTTTTCCCCACATACCTATAGCTTGAGAGGTCTCCCCTATGCCATTCAAAGCCTTTGTTTTGTATTTTCTTATCTTGTCCCTCTCTCTCTCTCTCCTTCTCTGAACAATCTCTCAGCCAGTCTAGTCATGGTTCCCTGCATTGCAATCTTTCAGGGGTCCTCTTAGAGGTACATTTCATTCAATTTCCATTTTTTTTCCCATTTTATAACTTACATAATTATTAGCACAGTAATACATGTATATATGGGCAGCTAGATGATTAAGTGCTTGTCCTAGAGTCAGAAAGACTTGTTTTTGTGAGTTCCAATGTAGCCTCAAACACTTACTAGCTGTGTGATCCTGGGGAAGTCACTTAACCCTGCTTGCCTCAGTTCCTCATCTGTAAAGTGAGCTGGAGAAGGAAATGGCAAACCACTCCAATATCTTTGCCAAGAAAACCCCAAGTGGGGTCACAAAGAGTCAGAAATGACTAAACAATAGTGTACCTACATTTGGGGTGTAAGCTCAAACGAATTTTACTGAAAAGGGTCCATAACCCCAGATTTGGTGGAGACCATTAATCTAGCTTATGGAGGGCCATGGGGTGGGTGGGTGGGGGGTTAACTGATTCCAGAGAAATGGTTCATGATTGTTCAAATTACCTTGAGCCAGAGTCTTTATGCTTATATTACCCTGTGGTGAGGTAGTTAAAGTTAGGTAATTTTGACTAGCTGTCTTTGGGCTATGAAGATTATACTTTCTTAGATTTAGAGATGAAAGGAACCTCATCTAGTTCAACTAACCCATTTTAGAGATGAGGAAATGAGGCCCCCAAAGGCTAAGTGATTTGACTGAGGTCACACAGAGGTTGTTACACATCAGAGGAAGGATTTGAAGTGAGCTCATCTGACTCTAAATCAGCACTTTTCCCACTGTGATTCTAATAAATGTGATATTCACTCACTCATTCATTCAGAGTGCATGATGGTTCTTTTCCTCTCAATTATTTCACTCTGGCAATGATCTCAGTACAAATGGCCCATGTCAGAAACTCAAAAAACTCTGTTTGCCCAAAAGGAAACTATATCCTTTCAAATACCCTTCTCTTCCATCCAGCTCTACTTTCTTGGTGTTGCAAGGATGAATGTTGGGTTTCTTGGATATATTTCTACATTCCTTTCTGACTTGAATAGACCCAAGAGAGAAGGAAGCTAGATCCTAGGGATTTCGTGGTTGTCTGAGTTTGCAGGATTCAGGTGACTCACTGTTTGTTGATCAGGTTGGGCAATTTAGCTGCCCTCTTACAGTAGAGACCTCTTTTTTTTCCCTAAATGTCAACAGGTGAAGATTCTTTATTCAATAAGCAGTCCACAAGGAGGTATTTCAGTGTGCATATCAGATGAGGCAACATATTTCGAGGGGGGAGATCAGAGTTCCCAATGAAGCTGATGAGCAGTGACCCATCTAGAAATCCTTTTCTTCTCTCGATAGTCAACTTTCCCAGTAACATAAACATTACCATCTCACTCATGCTTGCAAGAGTTTATTTGGGATTAATTGGAAAGCAATTTTGTAAGTATAGTCTTATGATTTAAAAGTTCCTAGTACCTTTCAGCTTGCAATTCATTTCCCTAGAACTGTTTTAATTTTTCCTCAGTGTTATCTAAATCCTAGAGGCAGTGAATTTGAAGCTAGCCTCATAGGTAGGAAAACACAATAAGACCTGCTTCTGGAGTAGGCAGGCTTTGTGACCTTGGGCAAGTCCCAACCTCCCCCTGGCCAGTGATGACCTGCATTGGCAAAGGGAGTTCCCTCTCTGTGAGTCTGATATGCATTCAGAATCTTAAATCTAGTTGAAAAAAATCTACTCAGAAGTTAGGCCAAATAAGTAAAAAAAAAGTTTTTTCTTTCTCTCATATTACAGAAATTGTGTCTAAAATTGCGTGGAATGAGCTCCAGAATCCTTCTACACACATTAGAGAGAGCCCACCCCCATGTTCTAGGATGCAACTCCTAACATAATCAGTGCCCCACTACCCCACTGCTCCAGTCAGATGAAAGATGGGTTCACTGCATCAGGGCTGGTGCTTGCCCCCCCCCCACCAAATTACTAAGTTCTGCATACCCTTTGGTCCAGCAATACCACAACCAAGCCTGTATCTCAAAGAAATCAAAGAAAGAGGAAAGGAATATATGGACACAGAAATTTAGAGCAGCTTTTTTTCTGTGGTGGCAGAGAACTGGAAACTGAAGGGCTGCTTATCGATTGGGGAATGGCTGAACAAGTTTTGGTATATAAATGTGATGGAATACCGTTGTGCTATCAAAGACTTGCATGATCTGATACAACATGAAGTGAACAGAACCAGGAAAGCAATTTGTACAATAACAGCAGTACTCTAAAGATGAATAACTTTGAAAAACTGAAGAAATCTTTTCTTTTCAGGCAATTGGAGTTAAGTGACTTGCCCAGGGTCACACAGCTAATAAGTGTCAAGTGTTTGGTCTGAGTCCAGATTTGAACTCAGGTCCTCCTGACTTCAGGGCTGGTGCTCCATCCACTGTACCACCTAGATGTCTGTCCCAAGAAATCTTTTCAATGCAATAATCAACTGTGACTCCAAAAAAACAGTGGTGAAGAATGATGGACTTGATATGAAGACTGAGACATACATTTTTAGACATAGCCAATGTGTGAATTTGTTTTGTTTGATGAGGCCTGTTTGTTACAAGAGTTTTGTTTTCCTTCTTTCTTTGGGGGTGGGGGTAGAAGAAAAAATAAATATTTGATCATTGAAAAGAAACAAAAATTAATTTTAAAATAGAATTATGTTTGGGCCATACGAAGCAGTATCTCGTAACAGGGAGCTTTGGCATCCATGGAATGAAGGCTAAACTTTGTAGTTCTCTCTATGAACTAGTAAAATCTTCCACTTTGGGTTTGGTAAAAGGAAATATTTTGAAGGAAGTTGAATCAAGGGAAGATTGCAAGGTGGCTTGAGAAAGAAAGTCACTGACAAGGTCTTTCTTTTTTTTCATAGTTCAGAATTTATTATTTAAATTTAAGAACAAATTATGAAAGGAGTGGGTGACACATTCAGAACGAAGAGTCAAAGATGGAGCCCAAGAGGAGGGGGAGAAGGGAGGAAACAGGGAGAACAGAGGCTCTCACCTGTGTCTGCTCTAGGTGGGGTTGATTCTGATTTCTGAGGGCACACAATGAGACAAATCAATAAGATGAAATTCCAGGGAGTACAGTTTTAGGAAAACATCAAGGGGTGGCCAAGGTTACACATCCACCCAAAAGTGGGGGGCTGGCATTTTCCTTGGATCAGCAGCAGCAAGCGTGGAAGTGTGATAAATTCCATTCTGTGCTCTTGTGAAACATTCTTGTAGTTAAAGTCATTGTGCTAAAGAATTCTTTCATCGCCTCTCTGACTTCTGGTACTTGGCTTCTAGTTTCTTTGAATATGCTTCCAACTTGGAGGGGCCCTGCTCCAGAGCTGCTACTTTCTCCTCAGTTACAGTGATCTGATCCAGATAAGGCTGAAGTGCTGCACATTTCTGCCTTAAGCCCTCTCTTTGTACTTACATACACTGCAACAGCTTTCATTTCTAGATACTTCAAGCTAGTCACTTTGTTCATATTTCCCAGAAGTTTATAGTCTTCACTAGCGGCTGTCAGCTCGCCAGTCAGGTACGTGGCCATTTTGGGGAACACGACCTAGTGTAGCCACGCGATGTTCGCCTCGGCAGGCTCCTGCAGACTCCTTGGCTATGCCCACCTCTGCATCATCTAGGCCCGGGAAGGGATGAAGAAGAAAAGATGGAGGGAAAGATAGGGATGGGAGGGCAGAAGGTGAGGGGAGGGAAGGGAAAGGAGAGACGGAGAGGGGAGAAAAAGCGGCTCTTTTTATTTATTTTTTTGGCTAGGCAATGGGGTTAAGTGACTTGCCCAGGGTCATACAACTAATAAATGTCAAGTGTCTGAGGCTGGATTTGAACTCAGGTCCTCTTGACTCTAAGGCTAGAGCTTTATCCACTGTGCCACCTAGCTGCCCCCCTTTTTATTTAAAGCTCAATTTAGTTCCATACCACACGTGTCTTGCCTTACTTTTTCTTTTTTTAAGTTCGGGGGTCCGTATTGCCACTCGAAGACATCTGTTTCAAATGGAAAGTCTTCGGGGAGCAGGACTGCGGAACAAGGTTCTCTTCATTCACCCAATCTGCCCGCTCTTACTTTCTTATTTGATTTAGTCCTTCCAGCTTTATGAAGAAATATGGGATCCTAGGGTGGAGAAGCTTTTCCTACAGTTTCATATACGGAAAAACCGCGCTCTGAGCTGGCGTAGCACAGAGCATCTCTTCGTCACCAGTGACCACGGTGTGGCCACCAGTAAGGAGTTCCTTGGCAGCCCCAGCGCCGGCTCGTGCCTGGTCTCTGCCAGAGGCTCCCCAGGGCGAAAGTTCACTGGCTAGCTGGGCTGGGCTAGGCTGGAGCTCCTCAGGCTTTCTTCCCGGCTAGGGCGGGCCAGCTCCAATGATGTCTTACACCTACCTCGCACAGCCCGCCCCTGACTCCCCACTTCCCTACCCCCATCCCCTCAGGGACTTTCCCGAAAATGCCTGGGCAGCCAATTTCCTCACGGAGACCCTGGGTGAACATGGATAAAAGGGCTCCGAAGTGCATGGGGTGCACAAAGCTGAAGAACTCTCAACCTGTGCGCCCAGACATCCTCTCTGACTCCACGCCCGCTCCATTACCATGCGCCCTAGAGCTTGCGCCCCAGCCACTGCTGGCTCTGCGCTCCTCCGGTCAGGGCTGCTACCTCTCTTGTTGCTGGCCACTTTAGCCTGGATTGCCAGTGGTGAGGAAGGGAGCTAAGAAGAGGATTAGTAACGTGGGTTGGGGGGAGGGAGTATGGCCCGGGACTGGTTAGACCGGGATCCGTGGGGAACTATAACCCATGACCAATCTCTGTTTGTGTCGCAGCTTCCAGGGCAGTGGCGGCTACAGAGCTTCGCTGCAAGTGTCTGAAGACTACACAAGGGATTCATCCCAAAAACATAGCCAGTGTGGAGGTGATCAGAGCAGGACCCCACTGTCCCAGACACGAAGTCATGTGAGTCCCTGTGCTCTGACAGCTCCCAGTGATGGAGCTACCCCTACCCCCAACTCCCCAATCCAGCGACCTCTGAGCCAGCCACGTCTCACTCACTCTCTGGTTCTTCTTTTCCCGTGCAGAGCCACTCTGAGGAAGGGGAATGAAATTTGTCTCAACCCTGAAGCTCCTTGGGTGATGAAATTCATCCAAAGATATATGAACGATGAGTCTGCACTTTGATTTACTTAAGGTGTGTATGGAATAATGTAAGTTTCTGAAAAACTTCACTTGCCAGAATTAGCGCTACTCTGCTGAAAACGCCTCAATTGACTCACATTCCAAACTTACTTTTCTGTAGCGCCCTACCTTTGTCATGACCAGATTCCACTGAAAACGAGAAAATGAGGTCACAGGTCTTTGATTCTGACTCTCACTCTCGAAGTATGAATATACTTCGATGTAATTGTGAAATGTTAGATTTGGAAAAGATCAGCTACGTCAACTCCTTTGTTTTACTGCTGAGAAAAGTGAAGATCACAGCACACGGAGTAATGACAGAGGTGCATGTGGTAGCGTACAGAACACTGAACCTGGGGTCAGAAAGACCAGGATTCGAATTCTGCCTCCAGCATGTATTAGCTTCAGGACCTTGGACAAATCACTTAACCTCTCTAAGTCTCAATTTCCCTGTTGTAAAAGGGGCACAAATAGCAACCTCTTAGTGCTTCAGCTACTGATTTCCCTGGTTTCCTTTAAGTCTCAGTTAAAATCCCACCTTCTGCAAAGGACCCTTCCCGGTCCTCTTTAATCTTTATGCATTCCCTCTGAGATTCTCCCTAATTAATCCTGGATGTATCTTACTTGTACATAGCTGTTTGCAAGTTTTCTGCCCCTTTAGACTGTGAGTACTTTGACAGTAGCAACTGGCTTCGCCTTTCTTTGTATCCTCATCCCTTAGCACAGAGCCTGGCACACAGTAGGTATTTATTTAATACTTGTTGACTTAACCAGGCTACTGAAGTAAATGTGAGCTTCTAGAAGCTAATCTTCCTGAACCTCAGCTTCTAATGCTTCCCATTACACAGGGCTGTTTTTCCCCGACTATTTATTGATGTTTCCGTTAATGTCTCAATGAATTTAAAGTTCTACTTTAAAAGACTCACCAGTTTTAATGAGTGTAAACAGTGGTTATTTGTTTACAAATTGAAGTTTAAACTGATCCTCTCCTTTTCTCAACAGCGGAACTGAGACAAACCAGTGAAGTGAAGATGCTCTATAAGAAAATTTGGATTCCTTAGCAGAAAAACTTTCAAGGACGTATTTTTTCAGAACAGGACAAAGAATACGGGAAGAAAATGGACATTCTTCTGAGGGTGTGCTTCAGCCAGTCAGTCTGCTAGCCATCACTCACTGATTTAAGGTTCATAAAGCATTCACTTTATAGACCCTGAACTTGGCATTTTCATTGCCTTATTATGAACTCGATATTGACTGTTTTAAAAGTTATTTGAGCTATTTATTTTTATATGGCATATTACTCATGTGTAGTGAAATCTTTGGCAATTGACCAACTCTTTAGAAGTCACCCCACTAAGTGGCACCTAGTAATCTAAGAATGCTTTAGGACTGTGTAATCAAGGCATCTCAAGAGTTAAATATAAGCAACATACACTCCACAGCTTAGTATATGAATATGGGTGAGTTTTAATACAAAAATGAAACTATAATTATTAGTATAAGAGAGATTAAATGAAAGGCAGTCACTCCAACTGGCTCTGAAGATAGAAAGATTTTGCACTAGTCTCTTGCACATTTAGTGAAGTTCATATTTCAGTCTGGAAATAATGCACAAGAAAACTGGGGTGTTGTACATTTGTCTGTTATCTGTTACTTAGAATTTTGAAGGATTTGAGTTTTAAAGAAAGGAATGTATACTTGCCACATAAATTTAGACATGTGGTGTCTATTTTAGTATGGCATAATGCCATTGCACATGGATCTTGTTAGAGATTGATTGAATAGTATTAGAAGCCGTGTTTACATTGCTAGTCATCATATATACATATGTATGCATACATATGTAGATGGAAAAGTGAAGAAGTTAAGGAACCAACTAAATTCTTGTTTGTGGCTTTTATATACTTCCATTTTTGCAGATCTATTTTATAAAAAAAAAGTATATTTAGTCAGAATCAATAATGTCTCCACAACAGTTTTGAGAGATTACAATATAGTTGAACAATTCTTCATGTAGCTTTCCTTAAAAATTAGATGAACTACTACATAGAGTTCTTGGGGGGGGGAAGAGTGTTTTATGCTATAATGAACTGGTCAAAACTACTTCTTACCTTTTTTGTTATAAGAAATCATTATGCTACTATTATGCTGCATAAGTACTTTTTTTCTTTTCCTGTTTATTGTGCTTGTTTCATTCCTCTTGAGGGAAAAATAAATGTTTTCTGAATTCAAATGATATTGTATTCTATGTATTTTAGCCTCATGGTAAAACATCTGCAATTCTTATCCATTAATTTTTACATTATTTAGATTTAATAAATTATGAAAACTTATCTCCAGCTGCACACACTCTGATCATGACCTTGTCATGGCAAATAGGCTTGATATTCAAGTCAGCTAATTCATAGACTCAGAAATTATGGGATCATTGAGGCAAAAAGAACTTGAGTCCCATCTAGTTATAGAACTATGGAGTTAAAACTCAAAGCAGTGCTGTGTTGGTAAATGTTTAACAATTGGCTCTTTGAAAAAATGTACACATGGCCCACTTTAAAATTCCATCCATATTATTAACATTTCCTCCATGATTTTCTGAAGTCAAGACAATCAACAGAACAAAAATCAGGGTCTGATTGGTAGCATTTACTGATGTCTGAGATGTAAATGCTTACACTGAAAATTGAACAAATGACTCCAGCCTGTATGAGCTGGCCCCAGCAAGTCCCTGGTTGAAAAACACCTTGCAGGGCATCTGGTCCAACCCCCTCTCTTTACAAAGATGAAACTAAAACCCAAAGAGCTGCAGGATTTTTTTTTTTTTGCCTAAAATCATACAGGTAGTGACAGAGATGAGATTTTTAATACTCTTACCCTGAACTTGGTCCAGGGCTCTATGCTGTCATAACATGGGTTACCTAATAATTCTATATGACAGTAATTTCACTTAAAAAAAAAAACCTTCCTGTTGTAGGTACACCAAAAAGTCCATGTTTTTCTAGATGATTATTCTCTTTTTGTTAATTCTGTGTCCCAAAAGTCTTAGTTTGGGTTCAAGCCTTAATACTTTGAAACTGCCCTGAGGTTTCTGGGACACTCTATTAGCCGTGATGCCTTGATCTTCTTTGAGAATGAAGGGCAAAACAGCAACAACAGAGAAACTGGGGGGAAATGTAGCTTGCCAGCTGCCAGCAAAACCTAATTAGCCTTTTTAGTTTATTGATGTTTCAGATGGGTGTGGGCAATGATGCAGGAAACCAATTTGAGTCAGGCACAGGTAAGAACCAACCGGACACCCTGGCACGGTGGAAAGATCTCTGGATTTGCAGACAGAGGACTTGTGTACACACCTGTTCATTATCTACTGAGAGAAATGATTATTAATAACTAATGATTTGGGGAGATTAAGTTCTCCCTTTCTTTTTTCCCCCCCAAGATATAAGTCTCTGAAGGTTGAGTTAAATTGTAGAAGTTTAACTCTACAAAGAACCTCTAATCTCATGTGAATTCCTTTCAGTTAAGCTTGAGTGGAGACAGATGCTTTTGTCTAGACCAGTGGTGGGAGACCTGCAGTCTCTAGGCCACGTGTGGCCCTCCAGGTCCTCAAGTGCTACCCTTTGACTGAATCTGAACTTCATTTGTTCTGCTACATTTGGATTCAGTCAAAGGGCTACCCTTGAGGAGCTAGAGGACCACACGTGGCCTAGAGGCTGCACGTGGCCTGAGTACAGAGATAGTTTCTCTGTTCAAGGGTGACATGATGTCACTTAATACAGCTCACCTCTTATTGTGTTGTCCAGTCAAAGCTGATTGCCACCCTTCAGGAACACCTACTCTTTGTACTGTGAGTCCACCACCATGACTGTTTTTGGTGTAAGAGAGATGGCCACCTGACCATACTTTTATTAATAATGTGCTGGCCTTATTAACAAAATGACTAAATTACTCAGAAACTATGTCTCTCAAACCTTTTTAATCACCGTAGTATGTGACGTAGATTAAGTCTCTTAATTTCTCTGGGCCTCAAATAAGGAGGTTGGACTAGATGACCTCATTTGGATGACCAGAGAACCTTCTAGTCCTAAATCTTTTATCCCTGACCTCATCCAGAATAGAATTATATTTAAGGAAGCTGCCATGTTGAGGGGAAAATACTAATTATGGTGGTAAAGGCACTTAAGAGTCTCAGATCTTCCTGATTCCAGGCCAGTACTCTATCCACTGCACCACCTAGGTGCCCTGATGTAAACATGCTGAATAAAATATTAGCAAAGAGCCTATATCAACATATTAAACAGATTGACTATTACCAGGTTGGCTTTGTACCAGAAATGCAGAGTTTGGTTTAACATTAGGAAAATTAGGAAATGTAACAGACCATATTAATAACAAAATAATTAAACTATATGATTATGTCAATAGAGGAAAAATATGCTTTGAGAAAATATGATGACCATTCATGATAATAACATTTAAATAGTATAGGAATAAATGGATCTTTCTTTAATGTGATAAATGATGTGCATTTAAAATCAATAGTTGATATTATCTGCAATAGTGAAATGCTAACAATCATTCATAGGATCAGATTTAGAGTCAAAAGGCTCTATCAGAGGCTATCTTGTTTGACCCCTTCATCTTACAGATCAGGAATCTGGGGCTCAGAAAGGTTTAACAAACTCCCCCAAATCAAACAGTTAGTAAGTGGAAGAGTTAAGATTTGAAATCACACCTTCTACTTCCAAGGTTAACACCATTTCCACTGTATCATACAAGCAATAGTAATAACCATTATCACCATTGTTGTCTGATATGGTTATGGAAATGTTAGCTCTAGCAATAAGAAAATAAAAACAAATCGAGGGAGCAAGAATAAGCAAAAAATATATAATTTTTACTCTTTAGAGAACCCAAAAATACAAATAAAAATTGGCTAAAATAATTAATGACTTCAGCAAAGTAGTAGGATATGAAACATCTCCCCAAAAAACCAAATCACAGCCTTTCTATATATTACCAACAAAAACTTTCAGAAAGAGATAGAAAAAGAATAGATGGAAAAATAGAAAAAAAAGAGATAGAAAAAGAAATTTGTACTAAATGTACAAAAGCTTAAGTTAGAATACTTAAATTCTGTATTTTAAGGCCAACCCAGAATATTCTGTCCAATAATGTATAGTTACTTTCCATTTTTAAAAAAAAATTACTATAATCTTTTCTGGGTCTTTTGAAATATCTGGTATAGTTTATCATGTGATTTTTTTTTTCTTGAAGTGATAAACTATGATGATCATTCCAGCAAAGTTGACAGTAACAGTATATTTCAGATCCTATTATTAATATCCTGTACGTCATATAGGATGTTACAAAGACACTGTTACAAAATACAGTTTAAGCTCTAGTAACTTAATGCTATTACCACTCATCTTGGAATGGGTAGTACATTTTCTGTGAAATTTAAAGACTAACATTGTGTATATGGACTGACTCCCAACCCCTGACATACTTCGTACACTTCATATATTGTTTTAGTGTCTTACAGTTTTGTTTAGGATGAATTACTCTAATTGAAATCCTTAGAAATTACTGTTATTGTTCAATCTTATCCAACTCCTTATGATCCCATTTGGAGCTTTTTGTTGCTGTTGTTGTTTTTGTTTCTGCTTTGGCAAAGATACTGAAGTGGTTTGCCATTTCCCTCTCCAATCCTTAAGAATAGAAGCCTTAAATATATTAAGGACATAATGACATTTCCTTTTCATAAAATTTCGAAAATCTAACAGCATGACTTTGTCTTTATCTGGCATAATGGAGTTTTTTTCCCCATTTCCATCCTAGAGACACTTTTAAGCATACAGGATAATTTGTGAAAGCAGCTGCTCTGAAAGGTAACAGTTCCTGGTAAATGCTTGGTTCTCCAGGGCAAAAAAGAGTACTCATGACACACTTTAAGTTTAATCTTCATTATTACCATTTTCTCTATCACTTTAGACTTTAGAAAGCCTATCCAATCAACAAAACAGTAAGTTAAATCCTGAGTAGTATACTGTACTTGCCAGTTTCCAATGTATAACTCCTTATATTCCTGTCTACAGCTTAGTTTTCTTGGACTCCAGCATGATCTGTCTGTCTGATGAAAAAAAAATGCGTGAATCGTCCTGGTTACTTTCTTACCCCATCCCAAACCACCACAGAAGCAGAAATCTGACAGCTTCATTTGGGCTCTGCTTTACTCACAAGCAGATTCTTTCTTCAACTGACATTGGCTTCCCCTTAGCACACATGTTGTATTGTCCAACTTTCTCACAAAAGCGAATTTATTGTCACCAGCCATTATTCTTCCCCAGTTTCTCTTTTTCCCCCTGATATAATAGATGTCCAATTATTTAATTTTGCCCAGAAATAAACTACATAGAACTTATTTTTTTGCTGGATATTTTAAAGCCTTACTGGTTTGTAAACAAAATAGAAAACTATTGGTTGGTAAATAAAATTGCCCTCCCTTTTTCATAATGTTGTGTAAAATGATAGGCATTGTGATATAAAATACATCTAAAGAAATCCAAATTTTCTTTGCCAAGTTTTCTCTTACTTGTTTTTTTTCCCCCATTCTTTCTTTCTACTTGTGAATGAATACCACTCCCAGTCATTCACCATCTGCAAGATTATGTTCTATTCTTTTGGCAACCACCTCTTTCCATGTGGGTCAAATGTTTTCTGACTAAGGTGCTATCTGAACTCTTTTGGTCTCCTTGTGGTGGCAATTAAATTAGTTGGTTAAACTTCTGGGTAAAATTATTATGATCATTGTTGATGTAATTTCTATTGTACAATTCTCATTTTTCCTTTTGCAATTGCTCATTTAAATAATCTAGGGCTACATAGGTTCAATTATTTACCATATACTTTTCTCGCTATCCTTTTTCCTTGTTTTTTTTTTAAATGTTAATTCTGAACTTAGCTCTAACACATCAGTGACCTGATGCTATGTCAGCACAGAACTTGGCACATCATGAGCATTTAATAACTGTTTATTGACTCATAGAGTGATGATCTGACTGTACATAGATAGCTACCTCAGGGATAATTCCCATATCAATAATAAGTCTTTGTCTTTCTGTTCAAATTAAGTCAATTTAATGGGGTTATTTGGTGCCTGTAATACCTAGTGCTTCTTAAAAGAAAATGTTTATGATAGAAAAGCATGATGTCCCTGTGCAATCTAAAAGTCTTTGGTCTCTCTCATTTCTTCTTTACAAATGATTTTCCCATAAATTGCCCCTAATTTTCACTTTTCCCACTCTTTCATTTAAGTCCCTAACTATCAAGGTGTGTATGTTGGTTTGATCTGGAGAATCTCCCCAACTTCCTCATGAAATTTCTCTGACGCTTCATCCTCAGCCACCAATGTGCATACATAAACTGCAACTATTTTTGTAGTGATCTTTTTGCAGATATTATTAGTGTTATAATACATGAAGACCAGACAGGCCTTGAAATAATGCTTGTTGTTGTTTCTGGGTGTACAATAAGAACAGTTACCCCTCCCACACCTTTCTTTGTACCTGCAAACTATCCTTTCATTTACCTGCAATGTCCTTCTTTCTTCTGTTTTTTTTTTAAATAGCAAGAATATCAAGATTGATATGATTCAGCTCCTCCAGCAATACATGCACTTATTGGACAAGGATCTGACATCTAGATTGCTCACAAGCAAAATGAAGTTTGCTAACAGTAAAAAAAAAAATGGAGTGATTCTTAGCAGTCCATCAACCAGTCAGTCAACAAGTATTTATTGTTTGCTAAATACTAGGGATACTAGGAAAGGCATTTAAAAAAATCACACCTCTCCAGGAGCTCACATTCTAGCAGTGGACACAGCTACTACATACAAGCAAGCTACAGACAGGATAAATTGGAAACAATCAACAGAAGGGAAGCACTAGAATTTAGGGGGACTACAAAAAGCTTCCTGTAGAAGGCAGAATTTTATCTGGCTCTCAAAAAAGTCTTGGAAGCCAGGAGGTAGAGAGGAGGGAGGAGAACATGCCAGGCATTGGGGCCAACCAGGGAAAGTACATGGGGAAGCTAAATGGTGCAATGGACAGAGTGTTGGGCCTAGAGTCAGGAATACTTCTCTTCCTGAGTTCCAATCCTCAGACACTAGCTATGTTACCCTAGGCAAGTCACTTAATCCTCTATTTCCTCATCTGTAAAATGATCTGGAGAACAAAATGGCAGAACATTCCAGTATCTTTGCCAATAAAACACTAAAGGGATCATGAAGAGTTGGACATGACTGAAAAAGGACTGAACAACAACAACCATAAGAAGTGAAAATATATAGATCCAGGAGACAGAGCATCTCACAGAAGGAAGAGCAAGGAGGCCAGTGGCACTGGATAACAAATTCTCTTTTTCTCATTTTCCTATCACTGTAACACCATCACTGCAGAAGCCAAAATGGGCTGTAAGAGACAAAGAGCCATTTAACATTTTCTTTGTTTCATCAATTATCATGGCAAAAAAATAATATAGCCAAATGGCCAGACTACTAGTGATGTGCCTCTTTGTAAGTAAGTAATTTGGGTCTCGGAAAATAGGCTTAAGTATGTTGTGAGGGTTCTACTGGCACATATAGATGGTTGCTGGAGTTGATACAGTTGAGAGGGTACTTTGGACTCTCTAAACTTTACTGCCTATACTGGTGATATCGTATTAGGGGACCGATATTGAAGGTATCTAAAGGAGGGGATGATCCCCAAGGCTTTGGGCCCTTAGACTTTATTAATGCCAAAAAGAGTGAGAAACAAGAAAATCAGTAACCTCACACTCTGTTAACTCCAAAAAAGGGTGAGATCAAGAGAACATCAGTAACTCCCAACCTATATGCTTATCCTCCTGGTTATACAACAATCAAAGGCTTCTTCAATGAGGCCATTAGTAGACACTGAACAAATTTTCACAATGAGAGTCAGCAATGAACCATGTTGTCTTCACCATCTCACAACTATTTAATAGATGACAATACAAGATAGCCTTGTGCTTATAGTTTGCCATTAACAACAATAACCAAACAAACACATTTAATTCAGCAGGATAGAATGTTACTATACAGGTTCTTTTCCAACAGTGTCTCCCACCAACTTATCAAGATTGTTCTTTCCTTGGCAAATGTAACAACAGACTGTTTAATGACCCTCTGCTATGTCACCCTGACATCAGGTGAGTTGTAAAACAAGGAAAGAAATACTCAACAAAGATATGCAAAAAAAAAAAACTGTGGAGACATCCTGCAAATACATGTTGTCTCTACCAATAGATCCTTGAGAAAAGAGATCGCCTTATTTGTGTGCGCGTGTGTGTTCCCCAGTGAGCAGCTGAGAGCAAGTGCTTAATAAATGCTTATTGATTGATACTCTTTATTCTCTATAGTTCCTCACACAAGAAGATCCCTCACTATAATGTATGCAATCAATCAATAAACATTTATTAGACATCTACCTGCAGTGGCTGTTCTCACTCTAACTACATTGTTGTTGGCCATTTTTTTTTAGCAACTCACTTCTTATGTTCCTCAAGTATGTGTCTGCATTTGAAGATACTTTAGAGATGACTATTTTAGAGCCTATATGTGTGTGGTCAAGGAGACAAGGTGGTGTCTGGTTTATGATTCGGGTTTGGGTTCATTCTGGCACAATAGGAAAAGTCTTTTGAAAAAGATGACTTTCATCAGTAAAGAAAAAAAACTTGTAGTGCATATTCTTAACTCTCATTTTCCTTTTGGAATTACGTATGCATAAATATTTAGTTAGGTTATTAACAATTAAGTATAGCTCAAAGGTCTCCAAATCATGAAATTTGCAGAACAAACTGATGCTGGTGCTTTATCTGTCTTGTGGTTGTGTAAGCACCTTTGCCAGCCTATTCCCAGAAGGCTGACTAGTTTTCATTCTTATCACTCAAGGCTATCACTAGTTAGCTGTCCTCATGGGAAAGGACAAACTCTATGTTCCTTGTGCAATCATTGAGGGTACAATGGAAATGGAGTCCATCTGGACTTTTTTTTTAAGAAAAAATACTCATAACCTAATGCCTAAAAGTAACAAATTATTGTATATAAAACTCTACAAAATTGATAGATTTGTGAATTATTCCAACCTTTTTTAAAAAAAGTGAGTAAAATGTTCATCCATTTCTCAGTGCTAAGCATATATCTTTAAGAGGTCAAGGACAAAGAAATGTCCAAAATGCACCAAAAAATATTCACGGCAGCATGTTTTGTGGTAGTAGAGCACAGGAAACAAAGCAGGACCCATTGGTCGAAGAACAGGTCAACAAATTGTGGTACATGAATGGGGAGAATTCAGAGGAACATTGGAAGATGTCTAAACTAATGAAGACTTAAGTAATCAGAATAAGGAAAACAGCATTGCAGCAATTGCAACAATGTAAATGGAAAGGCCAAAAAACAAAGTAAAGAAAAAATTTTGTAATTATAAGATCCAAGCTTGACCTTAGTATAAATGCCTTAACTCAATTCAATGCATGTCTTAACTGTCATTTCAATTGATCCTTATGATAACCCCATGAAGCAGGTACTATTATTGTCACCCTCTTTTCCAGAGGAGTAAGCTGAAGCTGAGAGAAGTGGGAATGGGAAAGACATATTTGGAAATGCAAATAATGTAATATGTCAATAAGATTTAAAACATGGTAATAATATATGATTATAATGAATTACATGTTGGCATGTTAATTATTATATGGTGATGATACAATGTATGTTTATCATATGATAACATATTAAAATATTAACATGTGCCATGTGCTAATCTTCTTTCAGTTATTTTCCTAACATATGCACTATTTAGTAGATTGTACTTCCTCCTGTCTCCCCCTTCCCAACATACACTAACACACAAACTAAGGGCCATGTCTTTGTAATAAAGAGTCTTCTTCCTTCTGTTTAGAATACACTTCACATTTTAAAATCACCTTTCTTCAAAATATCAGGCATTCTTCAGTGTCTTAGGCAGCAACAGTAGAAGCAAATTAGCTGATGATAAATAGTAAAATAACCAAATCCATTGTTATAAATAAATAATATTGAGATAAGTGGGAAGCATTGTTGTTCCCATTTAACAGCTAAGCAAACTGAATAGCCCATGTTTAAAGATACATCAGAAAACTCAGAAAATGTTGGCCTGAAATAAGGTACACACCTCCTTTTGACTCTTGACTCTGGACTTCAAGGTCACTAAACTGTCCTATTTGGGACTCTGGGCAGGCTTTGAGGATGATGGAACTCCAAGTACTTACCTCGTCTATTGTGTCAGATGAATTCCACCAGGTGAGGCCCAGAGAGAAAATCCTGGATGCAGCTGGCTTTCCCCTCAAGGCCAAAACGAGGCCCCTTTCAGAAATTCCCAGCACTCCTGGTTGAGATTGTGGGGGTGGGGCTACTGATGGGAGGGTAGTTACTGATGGGTTCTAAGTTCAGGAAAGAGAGTTGAGCCTAAGGCTTTCAGAATTTAAAGTCAGGGCATTGCAATCACTCCCCTCTCCACTTCAGGTTTACCCTGCAAGGTCTGGCTTATTGTGCAATCTAGATTAATGGAAAGGAAATACATGAATCAGAAAGAGGGCTTGGGGAGAGGCTAGTTTTTCCTTTTTTTTTGATCTTTTGGGATATAGACTTAGTGGCAGTAGTATTGCTGCGTCAAAGGGTATGCACAGTTTGTTAGCTCTTTGGGCATAGTTCCAAATTATTCTCCAAAATGTTTGGACCAGTTCACAACTTCACCAAATAGTGTCCCTATTTTCCCACATACCTTTTAGCATTTGTCATTTTCCTTTGCTGTCATGTGAGCCAATCTGATAGGTGTAAGCTGGAACCTCAGAGCTGTTTTAATTTGCATTTTGCTAAACCATAGTGATTTAGAGTATTTTTATATGACTACAAATAGCTTTGATTTCTTCTGAAAAATGCCTGTTCATATCTTTTGACTATCCATTGGGAAATGAATGGCTCTTATTTTTCCAAATTTGGCTCACTTCCCTATATATCTGAGAGATGAAGTCTTTAATCAAAGAAACTTCAACCCCCATCCCCTAGTCTCCTACCTTCCTTCTAATTTTGGCTGCATCGGTTTTATTTGTGTAAGCCCTTTTTAATGTCACGTAATCAAAATTATCTGTTTTTTTCCCATGATCTTCTCTATCACTTGTTTGGTCATAAACTCTTCTCTTATTCCTAGATATGACAAGTAAAATTTTCCATGCTCTCTTAATTTGCTTATGATATCACTGATTGCTGTCTTGACACTGAAATTTGAATATGGCAAAGACCGTGCTCGCTTGGCCACAAAACCTTTCAGTTATAACATCCCCATACAGGATCATCCTCCCTAGGACCAGTGTCAGAGATTCTTGGGGCTGCAGGTAGAGCATCAGTTCTGCTGTACATATTGTAGAACATTACCAATAATATGGGAGGATCTGCATGGAGCAATGGAATGTCAAGCAACCAGAAAAAGATCTTCTTCCCTGATGATAATTGCCTCTCAGTAACTATTGTGGTACAATGGATAGACCACTGGGCTTGGAATCAAGAAGACTCATCTTCCTTAGTTCAAATCTGGCCTTTAGACACTTACTAGCCATGTGACCACAGGCAGGGCATGTAACCCTGTTTGCCTCAGTTTCCCCAGCTGTAAAATGAGATGGAGAACGAAATGGCAAACCACTTTAGTATCTCTGCCAAGAAAACACCAAATGGGGTCACAAAGAGTCAGACATGACTGAGTAACAACATCTGGAACCTACACTTACTGCTGGACTGCTCTCACTGACAGAGGTGGACTGCTGTGAGTCTAGACCTCATTGGTGGGGGAATTCTTTAGTCTGATGCTGGACCACCTCAAGCACTTTTCATACCATCCCAGTGGATCACCTGATAGAGCACACTCTCTCCTCTGGGTGTTTTCATAAGCTTTCTCCAACCCCTCCCCCATTCTCTCTATCTTTACTCTTCTTCCTTAATGTTATTGTCTTCCCCCTTGAAATCATCTTCAATTCACCCCACATAAATCTTTTCTGTACACCATTGTTTGCATGCTGTCTCCCCCATTGGACGGGAAGTTCCTTGAAGGCAAGGATTATTTATACCTTTCTTTGTATCCCCAAACCTTGACACAGTGCCTGGAATATAGTAGGTGCTTAATAAATGCTTGTTGGTATAATTTACCAATTAAAATCTTTGGCCCCATTCAAAGCTTGAATATTTTCTCTACCTCTTCAAATTTTCTTAAAGCATTTTATATCCCTCATGTTCTATCTTGTAGCATTTTATTAAAATATTCCACCTATTAGAGTATAAGCTCATTGAGGGAAGGGATTATGTATTCTTCACCTATATATCTCATAACAGTGATATGCACACAGTTGGAACTCACGAAGTCTTTAGTGAGTTGTCTTACGTGGAGTTGGTCAGCTCTCTCTTTCAAGGCTACAAGTCTTTGTGTCCTCTCCAAGATCTGGGTCATTGACTCTGGCCAGGGTCTTCTTGGCTCTGGGCAACTAGGTGTCATAGTGGATAAGGCACTGAGCCTGGAGTCAGGAATTTTAAATCTGAGTTCAAATCCGGCATCAGACACTTAGCAGCTTTGTGACCTTAGGTAAGTCAATCTCAGACTCAGTTTCCTCATCTGTAAAGTAGAAATGATAGTAGCACTCAACTTCCAAGGTTGTTGCAAGGTTTGAATTAGGTAACATGTAAGTGCCTTGTAAACCTTAAGATACTATAAAATGCTAGTTGTTATTGTTTTTGCTAGAGTGTTTCCTGGGGCATTCTGTTTGTCTATACTAAGAAGGCAGGCAAAAAAAATGTTTTTAACTGGAAAAGTTTAATAATAGATCTAACCTGTACAAGAATGTCAAAATAAAGCTGGGAACTAAGACAGGTGCTTTTGAAAGAAGCAAAGAAGCATCTTTTCAGTCCATAGTGACATGTTGCGGTTGCAAGTTTGTGTAAAGAAAAGATTTGTCATAGTAGACATAGTTTTCCTTATCCACCCATGCCATAAATTCATAGAAAACTAAATAATAAAACCACAATTCTTATCAACTGAGATTATCAAATAAGGAAAAAGAGTCAGTGATTGGGAAATCTGGTTCAACAGTTCCCTTAATAAAGTCAGAAAGCAACAACAGTAAAATAAACTACTTAATATATTTTTTTCAATTTCATTCAGAGCAACAAGGCACTGTCTGGGCCTAAAAATACAAAGACGAAAATCAGAATACTTTTTCTCAAGGAGTTTATATCCTACTGGAAAGTTCTGACATGGAAAGAGCGTTAGATTTGGAATCAGAGGTTCTAGGTTCAGATCCTGTCTCTGCTTCCTACAAGTTGAATGGCTTGCGAAAAGTCATCTGACCTCTCTGGACCTTGTCCTCAGCTGTAAAATTAGGAGGCTAGATTTGTTGCTCTCTGAGATCCCTTCAAAGCCAAAGTCTATGTCCTATGACCCTGTTAAGTACCAGGAGCCAAGTCCCAATCACTGTAAATAAAAAATCACATAAAGTAGTTGAATTATTTCAATTTGCACTATTCAATGTTATAATTAGATGTAAAATATGGCAATTGGTTCCAGCCCAGTGGAAATATGCAAGGTGAATTCAAATAATGTATCCACCTTCCAAATGGATTTCATTATTGCCACTAATTGGGTATCCTAATTGCATAAGGTATAAGGTAACTGAGGCAGCTAGCTGGCACAGTGGATAAAGTGCCAGGCCTGGAGTCAGGAAGACCTGAATTCAAATGAGGCCTTAGACACTTACTAGCTGTGTGACCCTAACAAGTCACTTAACCCTGTTTGCCTCAGTTTCCTCCTCGGTACAATGAGCTGGAGAAGGAAATGGCAAACCACTCCAGTCTCTCTGTCAAGAAAATCACAAAAGGGGTCACAAAGAGTCAAGCATGACTGAAATGACTGAAAAACAAAAATAATGTAACTGACAATTGAGGAGTAAGCAGATTGGCCGTCAAGGAAGAAGCTGCAGCTCATCCCCAATGGAAGACATCTGGGAGGCAGATGTGAGGAGGAAGGGCTTTCCAGGAAAGAGAAGCAACTTTTGCAATAGAGGCAGGAAATAGAATGTAAATTTCATATAACAGTTGGCTGGAAAGAAATATGTGAAAGGGAGGATTGTGTAGTAAAAGGGAAAATGCAGGCAGAGAACCAGATGGTAGGGTGGTAAAGAAGTTTGTATGTAGTATGAGAAAAGGGATTCTTAACTTATGTTCCACAGATCTGTATTCTTTTTAAAAAGGTATTTTCATAACTCTATGTCAAAATAATTGGTTTCCTTTGTAATCTTATGTATTTTGTTACCCTCATAAATATGAAAACTTCTATTTGGATTGCAAACCCCTTGTACCTATATAGGTGTTCCACACACATGTTCATTTCTCTTGTAATAAATCCAGTTTCATGTATGTTTCACAAAATTATGATTTCTGGTCAACAATTTTATTGAATGTATCAGAAAACACAATTGTAAGAAGGGATCCGTAGGCTACTACTGCCAAAGTAATCCATGATGAACAAAAACAGTTCAGTGTTCTTGTACTTGAGACAGCAGCAATCATTGAAGGGCTTTAAGCAGGACAAAGTCACACGGGTGCCTTAAAGAAGATTATTTTGATAGCTGGTGAAGTGTGGATTAGAGAGCAGGATACTGAAAGAGAGAACCAATTAGAAAGCTATTTCTATAGTCCAGGTGAGAAGAGACAAGGGCATCAGTGACAGCAGTAGGCAGATGGGGACAGATCAAAGAGATGGCATGGAGATAGAATCAACAAAATCTGCCAACTGATCGATTGGCTCTGGTGGGGTGAAGGAGACCAAAGCCTGAGATGAAAGTAGTGCTCCCAACAGAAGCAAGAAAATTTGGAAAAGGGTCAAGGGACAAGATGATCAGATCTCTTTTGGGCAGGCTGAGTAGGGGAGGTAGAAATGAACAAGGGTGTCAGCTATGTGAGTGGAGAAGGAGGACAGATATGAAGGATGTTGCAGCAAGAGGTGGTGAAGGTGGTGATTAGAAGATTTTCGAATGCAGCAACACTGAGCTCATTCTTCCAGAGAGATCAGCTATGTATCATTTACATCGAGAGGCATCTAAGTGGCCCTGCCAGATAGAGCATTGAGTCTTGAGTCAGATAGATCTGAGTTCAAATCCATTCTCAAACAATTACTAGCTATCCATCCTCAAACAAATCACTTAACTTCTGCCTGCCTCAATTTCCTCATCTATAAAGTGGAAAAAATGAGAGCACCTACTTCACAGGGCTGTTGTGAAGATTGACAGTATTTGTTAAGTATAAAATGAATTTGTAAAGTGCTTTTTAACAGTGCCCAGTGCATTCTTGTTCAGCTATTTCAGTCATGTCCAACTCTTTGTGATCAGATTTGGGGTTTTCTTGGCAAAGACACTGGAGTGGTTTGCTATTTCCTCCTCCAACTCACTTTACAGATGAGGAAACTGAAGCGAACAGGGTTAAGTGACTTGCCCAGGGTCACACAGCTAGGAAGTGTCTGAGGCCAAATTTGAACTCAGGAAGAGGAGTCCTCTTGACTCCAGACCTGGTACTTTATCCATGCTGACACCTAGCTGCCCATACCA